TTTGGCGGCTCCCTTAACGGCGGACACCGGCCTCGGGCACGGAATGACAGCAGAAGTGGACGCCCCGTCCACCACTCGGGACGCACCTACGTCCTCACCTCTTGAAGAAGAGGCGGACTCCTCGTCCTCGCCTCCCTCGTCCATCAGCTCCGCGGATTTGTATGGACTTAAACGCTCTATCTCCTCCTCAAACTCCTCGAGCACCTCGTAGTCAAGCGACCTCGTGGAGGGCTGGTCGTCGTAGGGGTAGTAGTCGTCGTTCAAGCTCTTCATTACTACTACTACGGGCTTAAGGAGAACTTACGATCTAAAGGTGTTTAAATGCCTAACACTAGATCAGTTACTTACGGAGCAAAATATGAAAAGTGAGGAAGATCGTGATGAACACTAACCTCAAACAATGAAGAACACGAAGAACAGGCTTGGGAGTTTCTCTCTCTAGAAAATCGGCCAGCACTTCGACAAATTCAGAATGCAAATGTGATTCTTCGTCGGAGGGGAAGGGGTATTTATAGCCCCCCCCCCCCCCCCCACCAACGGTCACTACACATGGCACTCTCCCAATGGCCACATCAACGGTCACCAATGGGAGGCTACCACGACACCAACAGGCCAGGCCCAAGCCACATCAACGGACCACTGGCAAATCAACGGACCAATGGGAGGCTACCACGACGAGACCGCTTCGGCCAGGGACTCAAGCAACTCCTTCACCCCTCACACTCTTCGGCCTGAAGCAGTGGGGGACTGGGGGACTACACCGGCCTCAACAAAACAAAAGAGTGCAAACAAGGTAACCACGGAGCATGGCCACATCGGCCACGCATCACACTGCACCTCGTTGACCGAAGGTACACAACATCATCTGCAACGGCCAACGGTCACCAAAGGCAAGGACGCTCATCGTCCTTCGCCATCACTAAATCACGAGGGGCTCTTCGGCCAAACAAACACGAAGGCCAACCAGCAACGACCACACAAAGGAAATGAGGCCATCGTCCTCAAAGCAAGGAACAACCTCAACGGCTTCACCGGCCCAAACATAAACTTCAACCACCAACGGCCAGGAAAGGGAAAGCGCGCCTTCAACGGCCACCATTGAAAAGAGGACACTCATCGTCCCAAAACGAATTAAGGAAACAACGGCCTCCCCGCCCACAGCGAGGAACAGGATCACCAAAGAGGAAACAACGCCAACGCCGCAACAGCTAACGGCCTGGAAATGCCCGCGTCGGCCAAAAGCATCAAAGCACAGAAATCTACTCTCCTTCACTTCGTCTACATCTCAGCTTAGAGAGTGGGGGACTCCTGATGGAGTATATGGGTCTGAGCCCCAGGACCCACATACTCGGAAGAACAGAAAGCACAAGACAACAGAGTGGCGCCCTCGTCGGCCAAGACACCCCTGTCGGCCGAGAAGAAGCCAACTCGGATCATGGTCCTGAGTCCAAGGAACCCGGGTGCCCTCGTCGGTCGTGCCCTCGTCGGCCGTGCCCTCGTCGGCCGTGCCCTCGTCGGCCGTGCCCTCGTCGGCCGTGCCCTCGTCGGCCACGAGGGCCTCCCAGAATCGGATCCTATACTTACTCATTTGTACAGCCCATTAGAGGCTTTGTATCCGGCCCAGTAGCGGTCCAGTTGTAAATGGGCCTCCCAAGCCCAAGGCTTGGGAGCCCAACCCTAATCTTCTCTATAAATACTCCCCTTGGGAGTAGTTATAGGGGTTACAAAATCACTCTATTGAAGCATATTACTGCACTTCTCTCTCTAGCTCTCACTTCTCTCTAGATATACTCTATATAATAAACCTTCCGATTCCCATGAGAAATATCTTCAACTTCACGTCTCTCCGATTGCTTGATTAACAAACCACAACCTACTTTCCAGAATTCCACTCTACTTTCTTAAATACCAAGAAAAACAAAACCTTTCCATTTTTATTTCTCTCCAGATTAAAAATTTGGATTTTTTTATTTGAAATTAAAATTTTGGATTTTAAAACTCTAATTTCCCTTTTTATTTCTCTTCAGATTAAAAATTTGGATTTTTAAAACCCTAATTATTTCTCTTCAGATTAAGAATTTGGATTTTTAAAACCCTAATTATTAACCGTTAATAATAATAATAATAATAATAATAATAATAATAATAATAACAACAACAACGGTAAATAATGCTCTCTGACACAATAATAATAGTGCAAATAAATTATCAAAAGTAATGCTATTCCAACGGGTCACATAACACTGAATGCCATTGAATTGTTATTCGGTTGTTTTTATTTTTTATCCGTTAGAACAAAACAAAGTAAAGTAAAATAATGTTCCGTAATAAGAAATTATTAAGTTTGCTTAGCTTATGACTGTCTGCCACACTATACACTAAACAAATTTCAGAATTTGTTGTTACAAATCTTAGTGTATGGAGTCTTAGAGTCTTACATATTTATATATATATATAAATAAATAGAATAAAAGTTATTACTCCAATTTCTAAATTGAAACATGATTCTATTTCGTCCAGAAAAAAGATACGGAGTATAATATTTGAAAAGATGTTATATGGTCAATTCAGGGTATATGGACAATTGAGTTTTGTAAACTGTTTTACTCTATTACTCTGGGAAAAGATATAGAGCCCGTTTGGTAATACCCAAATTGATTGCATTGGCTGATTCTACTAAAATTTATAAAAATCTGTTGAAGTGGCTGGATAGGCTTATTCTATTTATTTATGAAAAAATTATATTTAAAATATATTTTATTAACAAAATAAAGAAAAATTATATGAAAAAACAACTAAAATGATCACCTACATTAACTTCAACCAATGCAACTAGAAAATTAACTTCAACGTTACTTTTTCTTATATACAACTCGGCGCATTAAATCAAGTTACATGATAAAGTTGGAGGATAAGCAACTAAGCATTTCAGCTCAGCTCAGCATAAAGTTGGTGCACATGGTATTCCATCCTAGGGTGCGCATGTATTTCATCCCAAATTGTAGTGGGCCTAGTTATTTTTTATTTCTTTTTTTTTCTTAAAAATAATAATAATTTTTTTATTTTTTATCCGATCTTTATAAAATTTACATCATTTTTTTTATTTTTCATGACCTTCAAATGAGACCAATATTGCCTATGTAATTTTAACATATTATCAAACTACTATATTAACCATTATTAATATGTAATACTTCCTCCGTTCTTTTTTTGTCGCAACATTTCTCTTTTCACGCTTGCCAATGCACAACTTTGACCGTCATTATATTTAATTCCCTATTAGTAAAAAACTTTTAAAAATCAGATCATGAAACTTCGTAATTAGACGAATTCGACAATATTTTTGAAAAAAAATAATTCACATGTATTAATAAATAAAAATGTAGTCAAAGTAGGGTACATGAATAGTGTGTAAATTCCAATGTTGTAACTATTATGATACGGAGGATGGTAATATGTGACGTTATGTGTAAAAATATGTAACTTGCGTTCACTGAAGCCAAATGCAACTCGTGTGTATAAATATGTAACTCTACGTGTAAAAATATGTAACTTTACGTGTAAAAATATGTAACTCGCGTTCAAACAAGTCAAATATATGCAAGTCGTGTGTATAAATATGTAACTTTACATGTAAAAATATGTAACTTTACGTGTAAAAATATGTAACTCGCGTTCAGGCAGGCCAAATGCAATTCGTGTGTATAAATATGTAACTTTACGTGTAAAAATATGTAACTTTACGTATTAAAATATGTAAGTCACATGTATAAATACGTAATACAATAAATTTTTTATATACACAATTTTAAGATAAATTGTGATTTACACAATTATTTTTCTGTATTAAATTTAGTTCGATTTCCCTTATAATCCAATAATCATTTATATAATAGTTCGATAATTTGTTAAAATTACATAAGCAATATTGGTCTCATTTGATAGATCATGAATAATAACAAAATTTAATATAAAATTTATAAAAAATCGGATATGAAATAAAAACATTATTACAATTTTTAACAACAAAAGGAATAAAAAATAAAGAAGTCTGTTACGGTGCTTGCCAAAAATAAAGACCGGTATACGGTGCTCACCATATACCGGTCATACGGTATAATTTGTGGGGATTAGGTTGTACTATCGTATACGCTCGAACCCCACTTTATATTACGGAGTACCATATATGTTTTTATTTGGACTATTTTTAAGTCTCAAACCAAACCAAACTAGATCAAACCAAATCACACCACATCAAACTAGTTCAAAAGAGACCAAACTAGACCATATTAGACTTAAGCAAATAAGACCATATCAAATCAAACTTGAACCTATTAAATCAGACCAAACTTTGACAGTATAAAATAACTAAAAACCAGACATTTACCACACTAAACCAAACAATTTCAAACCAAATTAGAGTTAAACAGATTAGATCATATCATATAACAAAATTTCAGTCGAATTGAAAACATCCTAAGTGGTATGTCGGGACTACACATCCTAAGTGGTTTTGTTTACAAATCATTCATACCCGTCTCGTTGACGCTGTAATAATTGTATGTCTTTTGTTGACTGCTTTAAGGACTTTGTGAGGACTAATTTAAGATAAAATAGGGATACATTTGTGTTGCATATGACCCCAACTCTACTCAAATAGGACGTGTTATGAAGCCCTAGCCTGAAAGTGTCAAATCTAATATGAACTAATTTGATCTAGGCCTTTTAAATTTGATTTGATCCAAGTCAATTTGTATGAATCTAGTCTCAACTAATCCAGTCGAGTCAAGTTTGATACTTTTTGCATTTTATATACTTTAATAAGTATGATCAAGTCTAATATGATTTGTTTAGATTTGCAGAGTCTTATCAAAGACTCAAATTAGTTAGTCCAATGAAAACATCATTAAAGTAACTTCTAAAATTATATATTTAACATTATTATCATAATAGATTAATAAGGCTACACACTCATTAAGAAATATATCCATAATAATGATATTCAAATACTGACTAATCATATGAAATTATACTAGTTAACAAGATGGAACAAGGACATTAACAAAACACCATAATCAATCGAAAAGAACCAGATACAAATTGGCATATCATAGGCTACACTGGAATGAGATTCAAAGTTGTAGTCACGCATAAGAGCGGCCCAACTCGCTAATCTCGCAATGTGGTAGACTCCACTAACAGCAATGCTGCACCTGCTACTAGAATGAAAATTAAAATAAAAGCAACAACATAATTCAAGCATCCCGGTTTCACCAGCCACCAGGAAGGGAGAAGAGTTTTGTCCATCCACCTCCAAAGGAATCATCCCGATTTTACCAGCCATCATAAAGGGAGAAGAGATTTGACTAGCCACCTCCAAAAGAAACATCTCGTGTGTGGGACCTTTCAGTATTTTAGGCGATGCTGTTCCGGGAGCGCCACCACCTTATCGTTTTTTGTTCCCTCGCCATCAACCTCCTAGAATGACCTCCTTCCTTAAGCCTGATTTATGCACTTCATTAATGGCCAACAAAATGATTGTCGAGTCCGAGACAGAGAAAAGATACAGCGAGACTCACGATCAAACGCTCAAACACATTCACAATTGGAATGGACAAAATTCTCGGCTAGAGAAAACTCAGTCGGACAAATAACCCTCAGCCAAAGCAGAACTTAGCCGGACAAAACAACACGAAAAAGAAAACCTGAGTTTTGCATCGAGACAGTGCAGAGGAAGCCCACAAGTCACAAGTCAACCGCACGCACCCCAAATCTCATCCACTTCATCTTTGTTGAGTCGAAAGAAGAAGAAGAAGAAGAGCAGCTTGATTGCCGCACTCTTCTAGATCACCACGCTCCTAGGGTTCGTCCGCCTCCATTCCGCTATTGACGCAGACTCGCAGAGGAGTCAAAGAACCGGTTTAAAACGGATGTTAAATTTTGGATATGGATGGGGATCTACCGTTTCAAAACTTCCTTGCTTGGAAATTAAACCATCCCTTTATTCACAAACAAGTAAGAGATGTACAACCGTGCAAGACAAAACAGATGTAGCAGTCTTTGCTTTTAGGCTTGACTAAAAAAATTGGTATTAGCATTGTTCATAGTTATATGCCCATCATAATGAACGAACGTGGAAACAAAGCAACTGGTAAAGAGAACAATTGAAAACTACTGCACCAGAGAGCAGTGACACAAACTAAAAGCCATTTCCCCAATACTGACCTTCAAAAGATCCCCCAAAAATTTTTCTCAATCAGATTCGATTCGTTTGACTTGGAAACAAAACCAAAATTCTTTAAAAGCTTTCCTGGTAAAATATGCTAATTCAATCTCATGTCAGAATAAGGAAGAAAAACATCCTCCGTAATAAATAGATTCAATAATGGACTTCATTTTGCCTTTTTATCTTTAAGTGAGTTGAAATGCACTTTTCTACTCTTCATCTTCCTTCTCTACCAAGATCCTCTTGCATGCTTCATAACACATGAAAGAAATCCCAGCAGCTGGCACCAACTTCATGCAGCTGGGTCCCAGCCCTTTATACAAACCGGACACGCCTTCTTTTTCAAGTATGCTAGCAAGGGCATGGATCAAATTCTTGTAAACTTGCCTCCCACTGACAGCACCTACCTGCATGTGCTTACGAGCCACTTCTAGAGGGAAGGTGGCAGTGCTGGAAATAGCAGCCGCCATGGATCCAATCAAAAGGGTCTCGATGTTTCCGATTTTCTCTTCTTTGAAAATCTTTTTGTATGCTTTCTGCAGTGTGTCATATGCACAGTAGTTGGTTGCAGCGTACGGAATCACTCCGATTAAACTCGGAGTGAGACCGCGGTAGAGCTCTCTCGGCCCACCTTCTTTCAGAATCTTCACGAATGCATCAAATAGACCTTCATACACTCCTCTCTACAGTTTCAAGACAATCATTCATTCAACTCTATGGATATGTTTGGATCACAAGAAATGCAAGAGAGGGATAAAACTTAAGTAAAGAGATTATGTTGTCTTTGGTTTTACAATAAATTGGTTAATAATGAAAAAATAAGGTTAGAAGTACTTTTGGCGGATTTTTTTGGCCAACTAGGTTTATGAGCAAGATGAAGAGGTTATTTAACAGGTTCATGCGTTGAATTGGTTATTAATGAAAAGAAGTAAGGTTAGAGGTACTTTTAGCGGAATTTGTTGAAGAGGGTCAATTTTTTCCCTTAGAATCATCTCTTTACTCAACTCAGCCAATCTCAGTATATTTAACAGGCTCACCCATCTCTTGTCCAGCTAAATAAGCTCAAAATATGAGTAGTCTATTTTTTGTTTGAACTTTACACACAATTAGATAATCTGTATATAGAAGTATTTTCGGGGTGGGGGGCTTTGAGGTTGGGCATTCAACCTTTTGGAAGTATATAGAAGTATTTATATAAAAGTGTAAGATATAATAATAAATGAGTGTCAATAAAAAGCACTAGGTTTTAGCCTATTTTTGTCTTTCCTCAACAGTTTATTTCTTTCTTTCTTCTAGTTTTTCCTTGATACTTTTTCCTTCTCTAGTGTTTACCAGGGTCCAAATAGACAATATATCATTCAAACAATGGTTTTGTGTCCGGAAACAAAAAAAGTGCCATGAAATTAACCTGAATTGTAAGTCGAGTCTTCACCAACTCAAGAGGATATGTCAACAAGGTTGAACTGACGCCAGCACATGCTCCGGCAATCAATGAAGCAGGAACACGAAGTTTAGGCTGCTCACCAAGTTTGGGTGACAAGTTCTTTTTTACCGTGTCATAAGCAAAAAGCTGCATAGCACGAACGACATTTAGCAGCCATACTATAAAGTATAAACTGTATATCAAAATTGAATTCACTGTCATTAAAGTGGCAAGGCATAGTGCAAAAGACTTGATCTTTCTTCTTCACCTCTGAAGAATGACACCAATCAATGCAGTGATTGCAGTTTTCTAATCCAAGGGAAAGTAAACTTCTGGTGCATAATAAAAAGAGAGAGAGAGAGAAACAATGTTGTGAGGCATTACTTTTCATGTGAGGCATACATGAAAATAATGTTGCTATACTGTTGCTACTGTTGAAAATGAAAACAAAACCATTCCAAGTTTCATATCTAGGACTAGCTTTTTTTTTGAAAGAATATCTAGGACTAGTTATAATGTGACCTAGCATAAACTGTCAGCCAGCAAACAAATATTACAAAGTTTTTAAAAAGTGAACCTCTTGCACATTCAAGATAAACCTTCTACCATAAGCATGTTCAAAAGGGGAAAGTACATAATAGTGTTTTATAACCAAAGATGAAACTTGACAGCAATGTTTATTCCCATGCCAACATAAAAAGAAGCAAGTACACATGATGCATCTCCACAGTAAACAACTTCTCCAAAATGAGAGTAAATGTACAACAATGGTGTCACAGTAGCTCAATGCCTAAAATGTTCTACTTTAGCAATTTTGAGCATAACGTATGTACTTTAATAAGTTCATAAAGGCTTATTTTGGAATTCTCATGAGTACGTAATTCAGAAAATTTCATTGTCAACAACCAAAATAATATCTCAACAATCCAATTAATGTGGAATGGGGCAAAACATAACCATCATATTAATAAAACCTTAAAAAAACAAATGTTGTCAAGAAAATAATATTCTGTAAAAAGCTGTGGAATAGGGGAGAACTTAACTAAAATATCAATCAAAGCTTAAAAAAGATCATATTTTGCCAACAAATAGTAACTCAAATTCTCAATATATAAATAAAAGTGGAATAGGGCACAGCTTAACCAACATATCAATCAAACCTCAAAAAAAGATCAAATCTTTCCAACAAAAAAAATCTCCACAAGAAACAAATATGGAATAACAGGTCAACTTAACCGACACATCCATCAAACCTAAAACAGAAAAGACTAAATTTTTCCAACAACAAAATCAATGTCTCAAGAAAATAGTAGTAATAATAATTACACAGAATTAAAACAGAGATTTACAAACATGTCAATCAAACTTAAAACAAGACTTATACTTAGAAGTCTACCTCAATGGCCTTGCTAGGTGCAACACGAATCACGTTAATCAAATTTCCCCTAAATAATCCAGTCCACCCTTCATGTGCCATAATAGAATTGAACACCTCTGTAGTTGAATGCCCACTGCTCCCAACCATCAAATGAGTCCGAATGGTTTCCAAGGGTGCTACAACAGTCCTTGAAACCCCCCCTGCAATTGCACCACTTATCAACCTCCTAAGTGAAGGATTCCCAACCTTAACCTTAAGCTTCAGCCTGGACTTCTTCTTGCCAGCCCCTTCCTCCTCTCCAGGAACTCCAAGAACCCTAAACCCCTCAAGTGATGAGAAGTACTTCAAATACAAATCGAAATTGGGAAGCTTGAACCCCCCGTTACTGTCCCGAGAGTCTGGTTGGTTTGGAGGTGAAACGCCAAAATCCATACTGCCCCCCACTTGCCCCACAGAGGCAAAAAGCCCACCCGGGCAAAAGTTCGCATCTTGGAGACTCCATTGAAAACCCAATTGAGAATTTGAAGAGAATCCGTCTCTCTTGACCTCCACATCCTGCACTCCTTTGCCTTTCATGATTTGAAACTGCTGGGCGGAAATTTAGAGAACCCTCTGAATCAGCAATCAAATAACAACCCAATCTGCCGATTCAGGGGTTTAGGCAATATATGAAAGCTAGAGGAGAAGAAGATTCAGCACTGGGCAATTGGCGTAGAAGAAACTCATCGAGTACAAACAGTATATATATATACAATACTCGGAATAAGAATATGGTAGAAATAATATTTCAATAATTGAAAAAAAAAAATTGGAAAAAAAATATGGAGACGGGGATGGAGACGCTTTTAAGTGAGAAAGAAGTGTTCAGCGGAAAGCCGGAAAGTATAAAATACGAACCCTGTGAGTCTGTGATAGTGAGAAGCTTCAGAGTTGAGATTCTCGCCTCTTTCAAGCTTCCGGCTTTTTTTTGTTTCTCGGGTATAAAATAGAAAAAATACTCCATATTTGCGTTTTTTTCCTTTTTTATTTCCTTGTTCTACTTTTGCCAATCACGTCACTTTCCTTATTCTGAAGTATTTTTTTAAACTTCAAATAAAATTAATAGTTACTCCGTATTATAATATAGTGTTATATTCAATTAAATTTTAAAACGGACATAAGTTACTATAACTAAGTTACTTCTACAGTTACTAATCACATTTTAAAGTCATTTTTATTTTAATCATAGATATGAAGATATGTAGTTATTTATAGGTTTAAATATGTTTTAGTCCATGCAAATATGGGACATTTTGTTTTACATCTCTTCAAATTTTTTTCGCCCTTGTCGTTTACGTTAGATTTCTTTTTAGTCCATCACTATGATAACAACTTTTGTTTTACCTCAAAATAATACTGACTAACAGGCTTCCTCTAATTCTTTGTCATGTTATTCAAATTAAAACTGATTCAATTCTTTCTTCACATAAAAAGGATGGACCCGTCTTTAAATGGGTACCTAAGGCTACTTAATTTTGCAGGTCAGTCATGTGTGGTACTTAGACTCAGGTTGCTCCACACACATGACTGGGAAGAAAGAGCTGTTGAGCAACTACGTTGACAAGTTTGGTGGGAAAGAGAGATTTGGAAACAGTGACTCTGCTCCTATCTTTGGATTTGGAGATATCTGCTACAGCAGGGTCACTATCAAAGACGTTTCTTATGTTGCCAGGTTAACACACAACTTGTTTAGCATCGGTCAATTCTGTGACAAGGGCATGAAAGTCATTTTCCGAGCTAACAAGTGTTGTGTGAAGGATGAACAAGGAGACACCATTCTGAGGTGTAGATGCAAATCTGGTCTCTATACCATTGTGCTGAAA